GATAATATCATTTCACTTACAGAAGGTTTTCATTGTCATGAACGATATATTCCTTGAAAATTTGGACTACACAATGCTTCCAATTAGTTGCTTTCTTCCTAATAAGCATGTTTCGTGCTAAATGACATAGCATTTGCTTTTTGGTTATTCTAAGACTTCTTATAATGTTATATTTATTTAAAATTTTTCATATTTCTTCTTTGTGAAAATAAAAATATTATTTTCAAGAATCATTCAAATCTTTCCATTCTTTTCTGATTATTCATTTTTCTCATGTAAATTCTACCCATTTACTGTCAATAATTTAACTCCATGTCATTTAACTTTTCCTGAAGTATCAGTGGTTTAAACACATATTAAATTTTTCAGTATTTTGTATTCTCCTCTTAACTGAATTTACAACATATTTACCTCCATTTTTAAAAGAAATTATGTGAATGAGTAAACATTCACAAATTCTTAGTGTATATATCCTTTCTTCATCTCTTCTTGCTGATGTATCTTTGTATTAAGAAACACTGACAATCCACTCAACAACTGGAGCCATCAATACATGATTTTTACATTTGCATTTACCTGATGATTGGTGATATTCAAAAATTTTAAGGCATTTGAAGACTATATGCTTTTCTTTTGTACAGGAACTGCTCAAGTCATTAACTCATTTGTTGGTTAGAGGCTTTATTTCCTTGGTTTACCACTTCTTTACTCAATTGAAACCACTTTAGATTAGCCTGGAAACTAAAGTCAAAATGGGAAGTGTTTTCTTCCATATACGATGATATTTTCCTTTGCTCTACAGAATATTTCAATTTCTGTAGTTGGATCTAGATTATTTACTAATCAGTCTTTGATATCTGAGGCTAATTTGTATGATATTGGTGTTGTCTTCAGTAAGTTCCTGCCTACACCAGTAACTAGGCAATTATTAGTTATTCCATCCTTTGACTTTCTGTATTTCATTTTTAAGCCAGGGACTGTGATCCATTTTGAATTGATTCCTATATAGGGTGGAGGGTATGGTCTAATTTCACTTCATTGAATCCTGATAAGCAGTCCACCAGCAGAATTTGTTGTATAGGTCCTGTGTACTCAACTGCTTATTTTGTCTACTTGGGAAGAAACAAAGCCAGTTGTCTATTCCTTTGGTCTTTAAGGGAAAACAATTATCTAGAAGTACCAGCACACCCCAGTATAATAGTTATCATTAAGAACCCAACTACAGAGCTGGAGAGATGGCTCAGAGGTTAAGAGCACTGACTACTCTTCCAGAGGTCATGAGTTCAATTCCCAGCAACCACAAGGTGGATCACAACCATCTGTAATGAGAGCTGGTGCCCTCTTCTGATGTGTAGATGTACATGGAGGCAGGGTGTTGTATTCATAATAAATAAATAAATCTTTAAAAAAAAGTATGTTTTAAAGAAAACAAAAACAACTACACTTATTTGAAAGGCTGTTGACTAGGTAATAAAATTATATTCTGCATGGGGGCATGAAAATGCATAGCAATGTTACGGACATCATTTTTCATTCCCCTCAAACTTTTAAAATAGACATAAAATGATTTGTAAACCAATTATTCCACCTTTAACCTCATTTTCAAACATCCTGTCTTGAAGATTTTCTATCTGTGTGAATAAAACTCATATTTTTATTGTAGATGTATTATTATATAATTTTAAAACTTTTTTGAAATTTACTTTTTTAGTATATTTACATTATTTAAATGTGTTTATATAACTAAATATATTTTTACAAACTATTAGCCATTTTGTCATGACGCAAACATTCTATTTTCTTTTCTAGCTTTTCAAATGCATGAGTGTGTGTGTTGAAATTGTGTATGACATAGTTTAGTATGAATGTTTTTGGTTCTTAGAAACAGATTTGAAATTCTGTGAAAAATAGCCTTTCAATCAATAAAATATTTCTGTATATGCATTTATATGGATATTCATATATATTTAAATTTTAAGCACAGATATAACTTATTCATGTCTTAAGTTGATAACTATTTTCCAATATGAGTAACATCCTGTTTTATGCATAATTATATTTCAAAGTTTATTGATAAACTTTAGGGAGGTGAACCTTGTTGTAGTAACAGAGTTAGGATAAGAATGAAGGAAATATAATGACCAGAATTTTGTATGCAAAAACCTCAGGTTAATTGTTCCAAAAAAGTATTCAGGAACAGGGTCATTTTTATTTATTTTAGCTATATGGTTATGTTGACTAAATACAGATTTTTATTTAATATTAGAATTGATTTTAGCACTAATATGGGCAAAATGAACTATAGCCAAGTGAACAGTTGAGGTTGTAGGAGAATTTACTTATAATAAATTTGTTATTAAGTAGATGATGGGACCAATAAGCATATCCATATGGAAGGTCTATACATAAATACTACAGGAGAAAAATTCTATGATTTTCAATTTTATGACTAAGTGATGGTAGGGTTAAATTTTTTGTTTTGGATTTTTGAGACAGCATTTCACTGTATTGTTTTGGAGGCTGTCCTAGAACTCACTGTGTAGATCAGTCTGGCTTTGAAGTGTCAGAGATCCACCTGCTTCTGTCTCCCGAGTGCTATGATTAAAGGGATGTGTCACCAACACCTGGCTGGGATTATATTTTATGAGTGGAAATGACTCAATATTGAAGATCCCTTCATGTAAATACTTTTGGTTTTCCCTAATATTGACAGTAACTCATCAATGGTGCCTTCATTAGGAAATTGTTTTAAAAAATAAGTCAAACATCTGTTTAAACACAACTAGATCCAGGGCTTAAAGTACTAAGCCAGTTGCTATTTGAATTTCCAGAGATATTAATCACTCAATGAATAGAGGATCCCATCTTCTTTTCATTGTTTAGTTGATGCTTAAATGAATATTTAATTTTCATAGTAAATGACCCAGAGGACAAAATTAATGATTTTGTACTATATTATTGGGTATGATCCTGTCTGTTTATCATGACTCAGAATTTGGCTCTGCTCTTTAAGTTGCGTATAAAAATGTAACACCTGAAATAAAACAGGTTGTAAGGTTATTAGATAGTATGTTTACTAAGGTAAAAGCTCATAAAAATATTCGCTTAGAGATAAACTTTATTTTTCCACTACACACTGTTATTAATTAGCAAGTTACATTAACAAGTTACTTGGCATCTCTATAAAATATCCTCTTTTTAAAATTTTATTAAACTACTCCTCAATGTTAGGCAAAGATATCTCTCTCTGAGGAGTGAATGGGGAGTGAGGAAATAATGGGGGAAGAGTGAGGGCTGGAGGAAAAGGGAAGTGGGATTAGTATGGAAAATGAGATTTTAAAAAATTCTATAAATTTGTGTTTGATGCCTTTATAGAGGACTTATGTAAAAGGACTATACAATAGAAGCTCATGAATTATTACTCCCATATTTCAAAGGGAAAAGAAGCTCCAATAAGTAGGAATGGGGTTTGAGGAATACTAGAAAGAAAATATTTTGACAAATTTTTGTTAATGATGAAAGACCAAATCTAAAATTATATTCAAATGACATTGAGATGTCAGTATTGCTAGACTCTAAAAATGATGTATCTGTTATGTGTCATAATTCTAAAAATACCAACTGGCCTTTACGAGAAGTCTCTACTCAAATTTTTGACATTGGAACCTTATCTCTGGTAAAACAGAAAGTACAAGGGAATAAATATTTAAGGCCTGAAGGGCAAATAGAGATATGAAAGCCGTAGTAAAGCTGGAATCACAGTCTAAAGGAGATGCTTGTTAAACAGAAGGGGGATATGAGGACCACTAAGGATAAACTACATAATGACCAACTAACTTTAAAACTTTTAAACGCTAATGAAACAGGGACAACAGCTGTTGAAAACTTTAGATTATGGAAAAAATGGTCAATTATGTCAGCCTGTAAACAACCAGGGAATGTGTTAATATGGGGCCAAGCATATGTTTATGTTTCCACAGAGGATAAAGTGTTGTGGACAGCATCCAAACTGATAAAAATCTGTCATGAGAAAGAGGAATCTCTTGGATGTTTAGGCTGCAGAGATAGGTAAGATAGGGAAGGCCTTTGGAGCAGACAGCCAATCCACCCAGCTCTGGCCAGCATAGCATTTGGGTGACAAGAGAGGCACTTACTTGAGTCACTCAGAAACCTTGGAATGCTAGAACCTTGCTATGCTATAGGTGGTATCTGGGTAGAAAACAGGGACTGATCATACTTACTGGGCCATTATTCCCAATCATCCACTTAACTCAGTCGTTAAGTTGAACAGATATGGATAGTTCTGTGGTGGTTAATGAATCTTCTTGTCTTCATGGTCTTTATGAAAGGGGAGGTCCTGTTCAGCCCATGGAGGAGGGTACATAGATTAAAAGTTATACTTTGGGAGTAAAAGGAATTCCTATTTTTATGGTAAATTGAATTCAGTGCCTAAAATAACCATTCAAATATGTAGTAAATAGTGCCCAAAATCATCATTCTGCTTGCATGGGGGATATTTAAACCCGACCCAGGAGAAGATCTTACTATTGCTTTAGGATTGCTGCATGCAACTCAAGGAGACATCAACATAAGCATCATTGATCCTTAATTAGAAAAACTGAAAGGCTGCAGTCTCTCCATTTATGTACAGACAGAGAGAATGTGGTGTGGAGGAACTAGGGTGTTGTAGAGCAGAACATGGGAGACTTTCAGGAGGCAAGTTTCCATCTGCTATGTATTTAACTTAAGCATCAAAGAATCAAGTCAATTTTCCCGTCCAGGAATTTTAGCTCCATCTGAGACTCTTAGGCAATTAAAATCTCCACTTACTCTATACCCTGACATTCAGATTATAACCATTACCATGATTAACAATTATTGTTTTTAAAAATATAACATAGAAGGTATAAGAGCCATTGCATCATACTATTATATGATAAGAGTGTCATTCCTAAATATTGATAATCATTCTCTCCAGGATAAGGACCACTGCCTACCAGTATTCTTTGTCCTTCATATTTGCCATTGAGGAAATCAACAGAAATAGTCACATTTTACCCAACACATCTCTAGGATTTGACCTCTACAATGTCAACAGCAATCAATGTGATACTCTGGAGGCACCTTTTCTTTGCCTCACAGGAACAGAAACAATGATACCCAATTACACATGTAGAAGGCAGAAGAAGGTTGCTGCTATACTTACAGGAGTATCATGGACAACATCTGCTTATATTGGGAGACTGCTGAATCTCTACAAATATCCACAGGTGAGAAACAGGAAGCCTGTGTTACAGTGCAGATATTTCAGGTATATAAAATGTACAGAAGTGATAATATTTCATTAAAAATTGAAGCGAATAAATCAGACATTTGATTATAAAGCCTCAGATAATTTCCAGAGAATAGGAAGATTTTGACCTACATTGGGTGGCTATAAAGTGCTGGGTCTTGTGAGGTATTATCTTAAATATCTTCATGAAAGGAGTTTAAAACCCAATGAGCAGAAGGCATTCTCTAGCAAACCAAAGTGCTGCCTTAGCTTTAGGGTTGTATTCTAATTTAATATTTTCCTAATTGTTTCTATTGGAAATTTCCTTCAGGTTTCTTATGGGCCATTTGACACTATCCTGAGTGACAGACACCAGTTTTCTTCACTCTATCAGACAGCACACAAGGACACATCTCTGTCACACGGCATTGTCCTTTTGATGATGCATTTCAACTGGACATGGGTAGGACTGGTTCTCATAGATGACCACAATGGGGCTGAGGTTCTCTCAGATCTGAGAGGAGAGATGGAAAGGAACCACGTTTGTGTAGCTTTTGTAGACATGATTGCAGACAATGTGGCTTCCTTTTACAATACTTTTTCCTGACATCCCAGATCATGATATCAACGGCAAATGTAGTTATCATTTATGGTGACAATGAATCTTTAAATTCTTTATTCTTATATATAGAGTACTTTTTAATTCATTGGAAAGTCTGGGTCATGAGGTCACAATGGGATATAAATGTTGATTCTCTCTCTTTCATGTTGGATTCATTACACGGGAGTCTCATTTTTGCACATCATCATGTTGAGATTTCTGATTTTAGGAAGTTTATCCAGACATACAACCCTTCCAAATACCCAGATGACCATTATCTTGCTCTTGTTTGGCATAAACACTTCAATTGTTCCTTTTCTGGGCCAGATTGTAAATTTCTGGGTAACTGTCAACCCAATGTTTCCTTGGAAATGTTGCCTAGATATTCCTGGGTAGCGGACATGAGTGAAGAGACTTACAATGTATTCAATTCTGTATATGCTGTGGCTCACAGTGTCCAAGAGATGAGCATCAAGCAAATGCAAAATTATCCCCAAGGAATTGGAGAGGTAAACATTAACCCATGGGAGGTAATTTTCACTTTTTATATTTTAAGAATAGCACTGTTAAAAAATAAGGTTTAATTTTTTATTTAAATTTTAAAAAGTTTGCTTCACATGTCAATCCAACCTTCTTTTCCCTCTCCTGCCCCCCACCAATCTTACCACCCCTGCACTCAATCCCCTCCCTGGGAACCCCATGGAGGGTGAGGACTCCATGGGGCATCTCAAAGGATGCCGTATCATCCAGGACTGGGCCTAGGCCCTCCCCTATGGGCCAAGGCTGAGATAGCCCCACTGCAAGTGGAATGGGCTCTCACCATCCATTCGAACACCAGGGATAAATACTGATCTAATACCCAAGGCCATATAGATTGCCAAGACCTCCTCACTGATGCTGATAATGGGGTTTTGGATCAGTCCCATGCTGGCCTCTCAGTCACCAGTCTGGGGTTCCTAGGCTCTCCCTTTTTTGGGTCATCTTTTTGTGTGGATTTCCACAGCCTTGTCATGACCCCTTTAGTAATTACTCCTCCCTCTCTGTTACTGGGTTACAGGAGTTCAGTTCAGTGTTTAGCTGTGCATGTCTGACTCTGCTTTCATCAAGCACTGGATGAAAGCTCTAGGATGACATATAAGGGAATCATCAATCTCATTAGTGGGAAGGGTAATTAAGGTAGCCTCTCCACTATTGCTTAGTTTGGAGTTATTGTAATCCTGGTAGATTTCTGGAAATCTCACTAGTGCCAGATCTCTCCTCAAACCTACAATGGCTCTCTCTAATATGGTATCTCTCATCCTGCTCTCCTCTATTCTTCCCACGACTCAACTTTCCTGGTCCCACATGTCCTCATCTCCCCTCCTAATGTATGTCTTTTTGTCGCTGGCTTACCTTACTAAGGATAGTTTCTCCTAGTGTCATATATTTGCCTATGAATTTCAATATTCCTTTGTGTAAAGGTACCACAGTTTCTCTATCCACCCTAGGTTGAGGGGCATCTAGTTTGCTTCCAGGTTCTGGCTATTATAAACAATGCTGCTATGAACATGGTTGAACAGATGTCCTTATTGTATGAATGTGCATCTTTTGGGTATATGCCTAAGAGTGGAATTGCTGAATCTTGTGGTAGACTGAGTCTCATCTTCCTGAGGAATCACCATATTAGTTTCCAAAGTGGCTGTAGGAGTTGACACTCCCACCATCAGTGGAAGAGTGTTCCTCCTTCTCCACATGCCCTCCAGCATAAAATGTCCTTGGTATTTTTTATTGTAGCCATTCTGGCCAGTGTAAGTTGGTATCAGAGTTGTTTTGATTTGCATTTCCCTGATGGCTAAGAATGTTGAGCACTTTCTCAAGTGTCTATTAGCCTTCTTAGATAACTCTATTTATAATTCACTATTTAGTTCTGTACCCATCTTTTAATTGGATTATTTGGTATTTTGGAAACTAGTTTCTTGGATTCTTTGTAAGTTTTTCAGATCAGCCCTCTGTCAGATGTGGGTTGGTGAATATTTTTTCCCATTCTGAAGGTCTACGTTTTGTCTTGTTGACTGTGTCCTTTGCCTTATGGATGCTTCTAAGCTTCGGGAGGTCCCATTTATTAATTGTCCATCTCAGTCTCTGTGCTATTAATGTTATGTTCATGCCAAGTCTTTTGTACCAATTCCTTCAGGAGTACCTCCCACTATTTCTTCTAAGAGGTTCAGAATGACTGGATTTATGTTGAGACCCTGGTCCATTTAGACTTAAGTTTTGTGCATGGTTATTGACATGGATCTATCTGCAGTCTTCTACAGGACAGTATCAAGTTATGCCATAACCATATGTTGAAGATGCTTTCTTTAAAAAGTTGTATAGTTTTAGCTTGTTTGTGAAAGACCAGGTGTTCATATGTGTGTGGGTTAATATCAGGGTCCTTAATTCTGCTCCACTACTCTACCTGTCTATTTTTGTGCCAATACCAGGCTGTTTACAGGACTACACTATATAGCAAATCTTTAAGTCAAAGATGGTGTTGCCTCCTGAAGTTCCTTTATTGTACAGGGTTGTTTTGGCTATCCTGTGTCTTTTTTTAAACAAAGAGTGAGGATTGTCCTTTCCAGGTCTGTGAAGAATTGTGTTGGGATTCAAATCAGTAGTTGCTTTAGGTAAGATTGCCATTTTTACTATGTTGATCCTAGCTATCCAAGAGCAAGGGAGATATTTCCATTTTCTAATATCTTCTTTAATTTCTTTCTTTGAAAACTCAAAGCTCTGATCATACAGGCCTTTCGCCTGTTTGGTCAGAGTTACCCCAAGATATTTTATGCTCTTTGTGGCTATTGTAAAGGGTGATGTTTCTCTGATTTCTTTCTCAGCACATTTACTGTCTAAATTTATTAGTTACTGTTTTTGTTTGTTTTTTGGACTGCTAATGTATTCTGCCAGTTTGCTGAATGTATTCATCAGTTGCAGGAGTTCCATGATAGAATTCTTTTGGTCACTTATGTAGACTATCATATCAACTGTAAATAGTGAAAGTTTTAACCTCTTCGTTTCCAACATGTATCCCTTGACCTCCTCCAGGGAGATCACATGGCAACTCTGTAATGTTGACCACATTTTCCAGAATTCTCCTCAACACCTAATCCCACCTCTCTTGCTTCCCTATTGGCCAACAGTGCTTTATTCATCAACCAATAAGAGAACATATACCCATAAGGACTTCCCCCATCAATATTCAGTGCTTAAGTTTCTGTCTTCCATCATTTATATTTTGTTGGTTATGCTAGCATCTTTAGCTCCTGATAATTTACCCATCTTTTCTATTACTATCATGCCCTCAGTTTGTGTTTTCTTTATTGTCTGCATTTCAGCTTTCAGGACTTGAATTATTTGAATAGTTTCCTTCATCTGTTTTTTTCTTCTTGGCTTTCTTTAATTTCTTTAAGAAATTAGTTGATTTCTTGCATTGTTTGATTGTTATTTTTTTCTATTTCTTTAAGGGATTTTCTCACAGCTTCTCTGAAGGTCTCTTTCATGAGGATGATTTGAAGGTCATTCTCTTCTGTTTCATCTGCATTGGGTTGTTCAGTTCTTCCTGGTGTATTGCCACAAACTGAAGTTTTATAAAAGCACTTATTATATGGTTTTACGCTGCAGAGATTTTGCCAAAATGCAAATTACTAAGTAGAATTTATTGCAGACAAATATGCCATTGTTCCTGATGAATGGATGGCAATAAATAGGCTTATGTGCATATGCCATTATCTACTTTTTGTTACATTTAACTTCAGAATCTTCTCTTTGTAATATAATAAAATTGAAACCCCATTTTCTCTGTGTATATTTCACAGCAGAAATAGACGAACTAGATTCTAAATGTTCAAACTTTACTAGATCATTAAAGTTATACTTATGAGTCATGTTTATATTACCTAACTGAACATCTGACCATTTTATTACTCTTTAAATATAAATGTCCCAATTTACATGTAGAAACTGTGAATAGTGGCTAGCACTTCAAGAAGTTGGAAAATTGACTGAATGTCTTCTGTGTGTGTGTGTGTGTGTGTGTGTGTGTGTGTGTGTGTGTGTGTGTGTGTGTGTGTGTGTGTGTGAATTCTTTCTTCTGAATCCAATTGGCAGTCTGGAAACGTGATGACATGTTCATTTTTGGTCTTCATCCATTAAAATATTGTAATGTTGATACAACTTGAAATTAATGTCAGGTATCTAGGATACTGAGAGCCATTGCTTCAGTGGATTTTCTTTAATGTTTCTGGGGATGAATTCATCATCAGATTCTGCATTTCTTTTAGCTTAACCACATTCTCAAGAATATGAATTTCAAAAATGCTGCTGGGGACACTGTGGTTCTGGACCCACACAAAAAATTAGATACAGAATATGATATTCTCAACCTCTGGAATTTTCCAGTTGGTATTAGACAAATGAGGAAAATTGGAACATTTTCTCCGAAAGATCCACAAGGCCCAGAAATGTTTTTGTCTGACCATATGATACAGTGGGCCACAGGATTTGCAGAGGTGGGTAGGATCTTACCTCATTGCTTTGATTACAATCAATAAATAGAATTTATGGATATACTGGTTTTTGTTTCCTTACTCAGTGCCCATCTGTACAAATCTACTGTCATTTGAGGAATTATTTGGTCACTAATTCTGATTAATGGAGTTGCTTATTTTTGATCCTTTTTTATATGCGCTTTTATTCCCATTATGAACACAGTGTCTATTCATTAACATTTCATCCATGTGGCCGGGCGGTGGTGGCGCACGCCTTTAATCCCAGCACTTGGGAGGCAGAGGCTGGCAGATCTCTGTGAGTTCGAGGCCGGGCTGGACCGATAGCCTCCAAAACAATACAGAGAAACCCTGTCTTATAAAAACAAAAAACAAAAAACAAAAACATTTCATCCATGTGCTGAAACCACCAGACAAGAGCATTGGTTTGACTCAAAGATTAGGAAATATAAGTTTATAGACATTTTGCTTTTAGGCACCTAGAAGTGGACAATAGCATGGAGTTAAATACATGTCTTCCTGCTAAAATGGTAAGCAATTTGTCAAAGAATGGGACCCAACCCAATCAAACCAAACCAAAAACCAGGCAGACCTAACTTAAGAACATAATCTTCTGTTAGTCAAACTTGGAGTTAGCAGTTCATAATGATTCAGGCAAACATGTAGGCAAGAGCCTGTGAAATTGAGACATGTTGCTTATTCAGACAGGTAGTGGATATTGGTAAACACTGCTCTTCACATCCCTTTTTGGTTTTTATTCAGTAAACAACAACAGTCAATAAAAATCTTCTCACTTCAAGTACCTTAATATAACTATCTTTCCCAGAAAGTGATTAATACTAGTTTATTTGGTAATTCTGAATCAGTCAAGCATGTAAATTAAATTAAGCATGTAAATTAAGCATCACCATTAGAAAACAAGGCTGCTTCCTGCAGCTGTCAGGAAGTACACAATAGGATTACCATGGCATTAGAGTTGTCCCTTTAGACATGTACTCAGTAACCTAAATTTTTCTTATTCTTTCTTACCTCTAATATTTCCATACTTGTTCATAATCTTCTTGTCTTAGGAATACTTGATTAAGTACATTGAACTTCATATCATATAATATAATGAGATAGAAACTATGCATCAAAACAGGGATAAAAATTATATATAAAACCTGCAATCTTATTGTTCAGTATTGGAAAGTATCATGTTTGTTCTTTTAAGGTGTCCGCCATGTATTTTATTCTCAGCTTCCTCGCTCTGTGTGCAGTGAGAGCTGTTTTCCTGGATTCAGAAAATCTGCCCAGGAGGGGAGGCCTCCTTGTTGCTATCACTGTACTCAGTGTCCACACAATGAAATTTCCAATGGGACAGGTAAGTGTCATGCTCACTTGGTGACAACCGGGTCTCCACCTGTTTGGTAATGTCTACCTCATGCATCTTGGATTTGTCCTTTCTCTGTTCTATAAGTCTTTTAAAAACTCTTACTCCATGGTATTCTCTATTGCTTGGTGGCTGGCCATTCATGTCCTCCTCTCTTCCTTCTTTTGCTTCTTGATTCTCTTTTCCAATATCTGTCATCCTAATTGTTGTTTCTGCCTTCTGCCCCTGTCTATGCATTCTCCTTCCTGTTTATTGGTCATAAATCCCTTTATTAGACCAATTGGGTATTTTAGACAAGAGAAATAACACAGCTTCCTAGAGGTACATAATATAAAATAAAAGAATATGATGCATCTTTAATCATGAAATAAATTTTCCAAAGAATAACCAAAAATAACTCATCTTTGTTTAATATTCCACAAGAATATTATGTGAAATTATATCAAGGAATAGAAAGTAGGCATGAGACACTTGAAAACAGTGAATGGAATGAGCATGCTTAGACACAATGGAGAGAAAATCAAAGAGGATTCTTGAATCTTTCTATTAATATCTAATGAGATTCTTCATAGAAAAATTTAAATACTTTGAGTAAAATAATGGCTTTCCTGAACACTCAGATGTGTTAACATTTACTCCTAAGGAGGAAGGAGTTTCAAAGTTTTGGTGATTTTGATATGCCTAAATTCAAAATGTGCATCTTGAGACAGACTATACATACCATCAAAGACTTAATGTGCATATAGAGGCTTTGTTAACAGTGGAGTCATGGTAATTTGATGCAAATATTAAACATACTCACTGCAGGAGACTAGAAGCAACAATAACAAACCCTGCATTGTTCTATTTTAAGTAGACACTGCAAAATACATTTAGTAAGAAAGAAGAAACTAAAACGAAAATGCTGAATATTTCAAAACAATGAATCCCATACTTATAGAATGAGATGTAATTATCTTTAAAAATATAATTGTCAATTTCTAAAAAAATATTTGTCATGACTTATATATCCTCTGCTTTTATTAAAGAAGATACAAGATTGTGCATATGGGCCGTTCTTGCTCAATTTGAATCAATAGAAATAAGCACACAGGCTGTATAGAAGACAAGGTACCATGAGAATGAGAGAGTAGCATGAAGGCAGAGCTGGAAGAAATAACAAATAAAATGCTGATAATGGAGTAAAAGAGAGTAGGCAGTAGCAACATGATGAATTCAATAGAGTTTTTAATCTGAATTTTCAATCAAAATTAAAATTGAATATCTACAAAAGAGGGAGGGGCTGCATTTTAGAATCCGGACCGTGAAGCTTTGCGCTTCCTCTTTCCAGCCAGTGCCGAGCAATGGGCATCTCTCGGGACAACTGGCACAAGTACTGCAAGACCGGGGGTAAGAGAAAGCCCTACCACAAGAAGCGGAAGTATGAGCTGGGACGGCCTGCTGCCAACACTAAAATTGGCCCTCATCATATACACACAGTCCGAGTTCGAGGAGGAAATAAGAAGTACCGTGCCCTAAGATTTGATGTGGGGAACTTTTCCTGGGGCTCTGAGTGCTGTACCTGCTAAACAAGGATCATTGACGTCGTCTACAATGCATCCAATCACGAGCTGGTCCGCATCAAGACCCTGGTGAAGAACTGCATTGTGCTCATCTACAACACACCATACCAGTAGTGGTATGAGTCCAACTATGCACTGCTCCTGGGCCACAAGAAGGGGGCCAAGCTGACTCCCCAGGAGGAAGAAATATTAAACAAAAAACGATCAAAGAAAATTCAAAAGAGATATGATGAAAGGAAAAAGAATGCCAAAATCAGCAGCCTTCTGGAAGAGCAGTTCCAGCAAGGTAACCTTCTTGCCTGCATTGCCTCAAGACCAGGCCAGTGTGTCAGAGCAGATGGCTATGTGCTAGAAGGCAAGGAGCTGGAGTTCTACCTGAGGGAGATCAAAGCCCGGAAAGGCAAATAAACCACGCTTCACAGCTCATAAAGGTGTTTATTGTTCTATAAAAATTTTGAATATCTACTTTGCAAATATATAGAATATTTTAATAGAATTAAAATATGTAGTAAATACATTGATATTTATATCATTTGAATTTAAAATGGAACTCAAAAATTAAAAGTGATAAAGTGTCACACAATTATTTCAAGACAAAATAAGCCTAAAATGGCAGATTTTTATCTATCTGTTAAATTTAACATTTCTCCCTAGAAAAGAATAAACAGTTTCACAAAAGTGAGCTTTTCAAGCTTTGAAAAATCTAATACCTCTCATTCTAACAAGCAGTAACAGAGAATCAGCATCCTAGAGAATTTATTCAATAAGTGTTATGGAAATAGATAAATTTGGATTTTATGACTGAGAAAATTAAATTAAAACATTTAAAAACACATACTTTTTGTACTAAACTCACAAGACAAAGTCACACAAGAGAATTCTGTTTGAGGTGATACTATGACCAAGTTAGATTTATGTAATTTAAATCAGTAACTGATAAATACATAAATACAAACTATTACTTAGATAAAAATATATTTAAGTATGCTAATAAAAAGAATAGACTTGCTTACTCTGTGTCCAATAAAAACCTAGAATGATTAATTAGAGAGCATTTGTGAGTATTCAGTATTGAGCACTGAATTTCTTGAGTCTGAAACAACAAAAGATGTGTGGGAAAATGCCCGTGACCTGGTGCTGGGAAGTGATTTGGGATACAAGGGTAACAATAAGTAGAGACTCACAATATCATTTAATTCCTGAGCAGATATGGATCATTGCGTGAGGTGTCCAGAAAGTCATTATGCAAACACAGAGCAGACTCACTGCCTCGAGAAAACAGTGACCTTTCTGGCCTATGAAGAGCCTTTGGGGATGGCACTGACCTCCTTGGCCCTGAGCTTCTCTGCGCTCACAGCTGGTGTTCTTGGTGTCTTTGTGAAGTACCACCACACTCCCATAATCAAGGCAAACAATCAGGCTCTCACTTACATCCTACTCATCACTCTGACTTTCTGTTTCCTCTGTCCCTTGCTCTACATTGGCCACCCCAATACAGCCACCTGTATCCTGCAGCAGAGCACATTTGCAGTTCTGTTCACGGTGGCTCTCTCCACAGTCTTGGCCAAAAGTGTTACTGTGGTTCTGGCTTTCAGGATCAGAGTTCCAGGGAGATTGATAAGGTGGATAATGATATCAAAGACTCCTAACTTCATCATTCCCATCTGCACCCTCAACCAACTTGTGCTCTGTGGAATTTGGCTGAGAACCACTCCTCCCTTTGTTGACTCAGATGCTTACTCAAAGCATGGACACATAATTATTATATGCAACAAGGGCTCCACTATTGCCTTCCATTCTCTCCTGGGTTACCTTGGCTCCATGGCACTTGGGAGCTACACTATGGCATACCTGTGCAGGAACCTGCCCGACACATTCAATGAAGCCAAGTTCATGTCCTTCAGCATGTTGATTTTCCTCAGTGTGTGGGTCACCTTCCTTCCTGTCTACCACAGCATCAAGGGGAAACATGTGGTTGCCATGGAAATCTTCTCTATCTTGGTTTCTAGTGCAGGTCTCCTAGGATGTATCTTTGTCCCCAAGTGCTATATTATTTTGTTCAGACCACATAGGAATGTGCTTCATCATGTTAGGAACAAAGCACATTCTAGAGGAAAAGTTGACTATACACTTTAGTTCATGTTTTTCTTCATTATATATAAGACTTCAAGTCTATTTGGGTGCAGTCCAGTTGACAGAGATAATGCGGCAATGTAATGTTTTATATTTATTGGTTTCATTTATTAATGAATCCATCCTTATTCTCTGATCTTTGAATATTTTTGCATATTTTTCTAAATTAGAAAGCTTACCTTGACACATAGTCTAACTTATTATAGAGGAGATTTGAATAAGTACATTAATGTAAACTATGTCAAACATGGCAGTTTATTTGAAATTCTGGAATAAATTAGAATATTATTTTAAAGACCTGACACCTTAGTTTCAATATTACATGCTATCCATTTCAGGGACAATAGATTGATCCTAGAGGATTGTCAAAATGCTCTTATATTCATCAAAGTTCACTGAGATGTATCCATTCTTACATCAGCACCAAATGCTTCTTCACCACAGATAGGATACACTGCTTCTTCTTGTAACTTAGTCTGTCCCTATTCCTTAAAATTGATTCTCAAAAGCTGCCAATCTTGTTACAGCCCACTTAAACTACAACATGTCTCACTAACATTATTAAAATTTTAACTTGCATAAGTGATGGGTGGTGTATCTTTGATGTATTCTTATTTGTCAAATTTCATTTTCTCTTGGACTCATTGTAATGGAGTGTTTTTCCTATTTTCTTCCAATTACTTGCATGATATGGAAGCATAATATATTTGAATTCTTACCAATGTAAAAATGTCAATAAGATTATTGAACAGAAAGAAAATATATTTTGGTTCATTGTATTAGGAGGATTAACTACAGGTACTTGGCACAATGTACTTGGGCAGAACATCCTTCCAACAGATTACATGAGAAAAGCAGATGCTGTTCCCTTTGTGGTGACCTGTAAGTCAGGGACAGTCGTTGTAAGACCAGGGACACCTAGGAGAAAATTGGTGATAAGGAGCACAAAGAAAGGATGGCAAGATAGTATTCTTATTGAGCCAACAACCTTTATTCATTCCAAAGGAGTTTATATAGGGCCGTAAGTGAGGAGGGGGGGAGTGGGGTGTTGACTGCAGCTGTGAGGAAGCTGGGAGGGCAAAAAGGACAGTGGGAGGGTAGACCATCCTGGTAACCTAACTGCAGGTACCAATTATATCTTTCACAATCTACCCTCTATTTCTCAAGCCAATCACCTGAGTGACTTGGTAATTTTCACTAGGCTTAAACTTTAACTGATAGGATAAGCTGCGAACCTGTTTCTCAGAACTTGCTTCATATCTTAAGAGGTGATATTTATTCCATTACAGTCAACCATTCCCTAATAGCTCATAATTACTACAGTCAAATATAAGCATCATTTAAACAATAACTGTTGTTAAAGAAAAAAAGGATATGAAATAGAACACAATAAAGTGTCTATGGAATGGCATAGATGGAGTCAAGAGTTGACAGAAATGATATCATTATAATCCACCACAATTATTAGAAAAAGTTGAAACAGCCTTTATGGCCATAAGCTCAGAGTCTAGGGATTCATATTACAGCATAACAAGTACTAGACACAACTTTTCTATTAGGTTGTACATTTTAAACATGTATCATTAAATGTTTTTTGTTGTTTTTGTTGTTTTTAGGGAGATTCACACTGTGTTATCCAGGTTTACTTTTTCCAAAGTAGCGCAACTGCTGTTATATGGTCACATGATAAGTTCAGTTCTTTGTCCAGATTCCTCATTCCCTGATCTCTGGATACAAGAAATGACCATTCAGAACATTTCATAATAATCTAAAATTGATATCTTCACTGTTTGTTTCTAATGTGAGCTACAGTTTTCCTGCTTCTCCTTGCCCATTCCTTTCTATGTTGAGACTCCTCCTGCTTGAAATTTGGTCAGTGAACTTGATTCTTACACAGGTCTCCCTTCATTTGTAAGTTTGCAATAAAATCTAGAGAACTTGGATGACACTCATTTAATGGTCTATTTTTCCTTCTCAGTGACCTGCTAACGCCTAGCCTTGAATCATTTGTAGGATATTATTTCCAGCACTAGGCAGCAAAACCAGGCTTAGATGTTCAAGGCAGTTGTCAGCTTCATAGTGTGAGGCAAGCCTACACAACAGGAGAAAGTGCTCTAAGCAGAAATAATCAACAGCACTTGATGTAAATGACAATATATTCTCAATGATCTGGAAACAATAGGCAATAGAAACAATAAGAGATCAGAGCAGTGATGCATTTAAAGGAAGTCAACTTTTAAATGTGAAACAAATAATCATTTTTAAAAATATAATATAATATTAAAAAACACAGGTCTATACATTCTTTAAAAAGTAGAAAACTACTGCCCAGTAGAGGAAATGGCATGTATATTATTTTCCCATGCCACTTTGTGCAATGTTACCTGCTAAGATCTGTGATATGACACACACAGCTACAGCTGATGGATAAAACCATAACAAGCAGGATTGAATATATCTACAGAGGAGAGTTTCCTTGTTAGAAATTCTGTATTCATTGGTTCCAGCTAACCTTCCCAAATTGTACACCCAAATCTGGCCCTAATTCGTTCATATGATATGGATAAATAAATTTTGGGAAATTACAAAATCAGTTGTCCTGGCACAATCAGTTTCAATTTTATAATGGTGACTTAAGCAGTTGTTTGCCTACAATACATACAATAAAGTATCCCTACTATTATCCGGGTGGCGGTGGCACATGCCTTTAATCTCAGCACTCAGGGGGCAGAGGCAGGCAGATCTCTGTGAGTTTGAGGCTGGGCTGGACCGACAGCCTCCAAAACAATACAGAGAATCCCTGTGTCATAAAAAACCAATATACATAGATCCCTACTATTGTGGTCTGAATATAGAAGTCATGCTCCACACCCAAATCCAATGGACAGTTCACTACATGACTCCAATATGTAATTAGAATACTTACTGGTTGTTGATTTTTTTAAGGTAAGCTTATTTTTTTCTTAATCAGTAAAAAAAATGCCATTGTGTTGGGGGGACAATGAAGTGGGATGTAGGCTACCTGATCCCATATAAGAGTTTGTCTTAAAACATTCTCTACAAGGCTGGAGGTATTGCTCTTCTAGAATTCATGTGGCTTTTAAGGGATAAATAATTCTAACCCATTAAGTGTTTGATAAACACAAATATTTTTATTTACATTTATTTAATGTATCCACTGGTGATTAACATGAAAAGAGGAGCCAGCCTGGCAAAGATTTTGAATTTGACATAAGCTGTTGTAATTTAAGAAAATCAGTACTTGGAAGAAAGATGCCATATGACAACCAGATGGGTTTTTTTATTAGAGAAAGGGATTATAAAAATGGGACAGGGAGGGGAGAAACCAAACTTCAGGAACAGGAGCTGAAGGAGAGAGGAAAGAGAGACAGAGACAGTCATACAGAGAGGGAGAGAGAGAGAGAGAGACAGAGAGAGAGAGAGAGAGAGAGAGAGAGAGAGAGAGAGAGAGAGAGAGAGAGAGAGAGAGGGGAACAGACAGACATAGTGAAAGAGAGTTAGAGGATAATGGGAGATGGTCAGGGCCCTTTTTTGGTTTTTTGGTTTTTTTTTTTTTAGTGTTTTGAGAATGGGTTGCTCAGTATTGTTTCGGAGCCTGTCCTATATATCCTGTAAGTCACTATGTAGACCAGTTTGACCTCAAACTCACAGAGATCCAACTGCCTCTGCCTCCAAAAAGCTGGGATTAAAGGCATGTGCTGCCAATGCCCCGCTAGGGCAGGGACCTTTTAAAGGAAAGTAGTGAATACATAGATGTGGCCCTAATTGTGGCTGCAGCAGAGGACATATACTTTCAAAATGCCACGGACAGGCCAGTAGAGTCAGGTGAATACTAACAGTTGTAATCCTTAATTCTCCTATAGCTCTGGCCTGAGGTTATACTTTGGAAAATTTAAATAGGTATAGGAAAATGCAAGTCTAACCCCTTAGGCTGATGAAGATTTATGGAGCAAAAATATCTTTCAGATTATGTATTACGACATAAATATAAATATAACATACTATGTGAATTAAAAGATAAATAATTATGTATGCTGTAAAGGGTACATTTAAAAGATAAGTCAGTAGCACAATCCTCACACATGAAAACACATAGAACACAAATACAAAAGAATGGAAACACACCCATTCACATTGTGAAAGTTGTTCTTAAATGAATAGCAATTCTAAGCTATTCTTTCCTCAGAATCAGTCTTCTATTTCTCTGTGTAAGATGGCTCAGAGGATGGCCACAACTACTTGTATGAAGGACCAGAAAGAATATGTTTTAACTATTCATGACTGCTGTCTGTGTCAAGGTTATTAGATAACAGAATTTAACTTTTAAGCTTTATTTCAGGTATAAGTGTTTGCCCACATTTGGATGTGTACAATACCTGCATGAGACAGAAAAGGAAATGGATCCCATAAAACTGAAGTTACAGGAGATGGTAAGCAACCAAGGTTTGTAGCAATATAACTTGTGTCCAATGCAACAATACCCAGTGCTCTTAATTGACAAGCTCACACTCTGGCCACATTTTAACTTATTTTCATACATTTATTTGAAATATATTGCATCACTTTCCCTCTTCCAAATTTCATGCCTTCTTATTTCTATAACTGGTGTGAATTAAGTAGGGCAAATATTTGAATAAAGTCTGCTGAGTCCATCTCTGTTGGTTGTATGTTTGTATTTCAGGATTGAACTTGGTGTTTTGGATAGAAACATAGGGAGAGGATTCTTGCCTGATACTCTTTGGAACAGTGATGAAGATATGAAGTAATTAATCCATCCTGGGGTCCTAAAAGGTATAGAAAGAAGGCAAATGGCATGCACATCTAAGTAATATAACTGTGTCATGGGATGTTTTCCCATGTCAAAAGCCTCCCCAAACCTCAGCTCCAGTCTCCCTTATAAGATGGTCATCTAAGGCATAAATGTTACTTCAGTAGACAACTCTCTTCTGGAGGAATCAGTCTTTTGGAGCCTGATGGGGTTT